GGAGCACAAACACCCGGTGCTCTCTGTGTCTCTCTCGAAGAATCCTAGCCGTATACCCACTCTGCTCTTTGTTTAAGTCCACAGCAGCAGCTTGTCCTATGCCATGTGCCAGTAGCAAAGCCGAGAACCAACTCAGCTCCTATACACGTAAAGTCAAGAGTCATGAGCCATTAATTCACTCCACCAATTTTTTTATTCCTTTTCCCTTTCTAATAACCAGCGGCAGCTGGTGGCCACTAATCACGTTTCATTTTCTCTCCTCGTGATTAATTAGCGGCCACCTTGCACAATTAATATCTCCACTATGCTAACTCCGATTCCATCACTTCTTCTTCCTAAATTCATCTAAAATCAAACCCCACCTATCCATAAAGTTTCATAATTTTTGAAACACAGTTGAATTTATGTGAATATTTAATTGTGTCTGTTTGCCGAGTACCACGAGTTCGACGTCGATGGATTGTGGAGTCATCGGGAGTTGCTGGAGAAATGGTACTTTTGGAAGCGTGATTGGATTTCTAAGAATTTCGGCTATCGTTGATTATTTACATCTATGCATTTGCATCAATACATATCATAATAGGAACGATGGTGGATCGTGGGATCAACTGGAGTAGCTGAAAGATGATGCTATGGTGATCATATCACGAAGATGGAATGCTAACTTTTGGTTATATTTTACCCAGGCAAGCCCCGGTGCATAACCTCTACTTTTCTGCAGTTTAAATTATATTTGTGCATTAAGTTTAAGGAGTTGAATGAAACCCACTTGCATATATATCTTTATTCCTATGAGTCTTACTAGTATGACAGGATCGTGTAGAATGCTATGCTACAGGACTCCGGTAGAAGTCGAGTGATTGCTTGTCACTCGCGAGAGATAGGAAATATATTATTGGATTACTATCACTTGGAAAATATCAAAATGGTGGAAAGGAAAATGGTGACCGGGCAGGGATATGGTTTGGGTATTGGTGAGTGTAAGGAGTTTTGTCGCCGTGGACACGGGGCATAGCTTGGTTACACTATTTTTTTTCCTGTCTGGTCGGTTAAGGACCGATCGTTGCATATGACTCTAGGCAGGTCACAGACTTATTATCCCGAGCACATACTTGTGTATGGGCGCTTGGAAGGCTTGTTGCTCTCTTATCGCGGATCCGGCTCTTTCCGGACCGACTGCTAGGCTTTGTTTTGGTGGAGGAGGTCCTTGCACCGCACTGAGTTTGGGACTCAGGGGCGGGGGCTTGGAGTCCCAGTTTGGACGGGGACCTGGACACCCGGGACAGGAGAGTGATGGGTTGGTCCTGCTTGTGCCTGAGGAACAAGCGGGGCGTGTGTTTTCGGGGTACCCAGCTGGGGGCATTGATTCACGAATCGCCGGGCTATCCGGTACGGCTTGTCTGCGGTTTAGCATCATAGTAAGAACTGAAGATGAAAGATGAAAGATGGAAAAGGAAATCTGATTGCTTACCACCTGCTTGAAAATAGCACAGGTGCTTACATAGAATGGTTAGTTAATGAACCAATGCGGCTATTAATAAAAATCAAATATAAGGATGCACGCTTAGTAATGCTTCCTGCAAATGCAACCCACAAGCCAGATAGCCTTGCATATCCTTGGAGTCTTTTCTTTCCTCCTGTCGGGTAAGTCTTGCTGAGTACAATTGAGTACTCAGGGTTTTATTCCCTCTGTTGCAGGTGATAGGTTGATGCTAGAGCTGACCCTTGTGTGTGGATTCCTCCTGGTGGGCTCAGCGAGGATTCCTTTACGTCGTGATCGTAGTTTTTATTTATAACTCTCACCAAATGTTTTTATGAAAGTTTCATAATCTGTTGTAGTAGTTTATATATCAAATACTTCATCATATCATTAATAGATGTTTATTTCCGCTATAATTCTGATCACATGTTTAAATTCCGCTGTACATTAAATTATTTATAACTCTGATAATATAATTACATTCCGCTGTTATACAATAACTATTATACTCTGATGTTGTACTAAAAGGGATGTTTGAAATGGTTAAGAATGATGTAAGCTTTGTTCTCTCATTTGTGATCCTGATGACAAAAATGTGGATTTTCGGGTTCTCCCATGGGGTGTGCCCGACGGAATCGAGTAATTTAGTGTTCTCCCTTGAGTGCTTAGTGTCTAATGGAAGACAAGCACTCCTATGAGGCATTAGATTAGGCGGTTCTGCTACAACTACAATCTTACTGTTGCTCGCTTTGAGTTGTGTAGGCTGATTGCTAGGCTTGACCTTCCATTAGGTATAGATGAGTCACAGGCATGGGATGATTACATTGTTCTTGCTCATAACCCTAGGTTTGCCAATGTTTCTCGATAGACCACCACTAGAGATCTTGGTAAGCTGTTTACTGAACGTCGTGATAAGCTTAAGAATTTTGTGTTGCCTACTGCTTTTTCTGTTGCTTTGACTTCAGACATTTGGTCTGATAATGCTAAGGAGGACTATATTAGTGTTGTTGCTCACTATTTGAATGCTAATTGGGAGTTATAAAAAAGGGTTATTGGTCTTAGGCTGATTGAGGTTAAACATTCTGGTGAAAACATTGCTGAAAGAATTGCTGCTGTGGTTGAGGAGTATTGTCTGATTGACAAGATTTTCTCTGTCACTCTAGACAATGCTTCTTCTAATGCTAGGGCTATGAACACTTTGACACCTCTATTTGCTTGTTACGTGGGTCCTGATCCTTTGGATTCTAGTAACCGTAAGTACAGTCTTGTACATCAACGTAGTGCTTGTCATATCATTAATCTAATTGTAAAATCTAGATTAAAGAGGTTGAAATCTTATACATAAGATTTTAGAACTATAATTAACTTCTTAAATTCCTCTAATCAAATAATTGCATTGTTCAAGGAATACTGTAATGCTAAGGGTGTTAGACCTAGAAAGTTTGGCTTGGATATGGATGTTAGATGGAATTCTACTTACCTGATGCTTAAACACTTGGTTTCATACAAGAATGTCTTTTCTGTGTTCATTAATTCCCATTATGGTTCACAATTGTTGACTATAAATCATTGATATTTTGCTGAGAAGTTATTGGAGTTCCTGAAACTCTTCTATGACTCCACTTTTGTACTGTCTGGTGTTTATTATCCTACAAGTCCACTTGTTCTGCACCATATCCTAGATATTGCTTCTCATTTGCATGCATGTGAAAAAGATCATAATCTGAGAGCTATTGTATATCCTATGAATCTTAAGTTCCTTAAATATTGGCAGGACATACCTCTGTTATATTCATATGTATTCATTCTTGATCCTAGAGCTAAGATAAGATGTTTCTTTAATGTGCTGCAATTACTTGGTGAATACACTAGTTCTGCGTACAATTTATACTATGCTGATATCAAAACTGAATTGTATAAACTGTTTAACAAATATGAGAGCAAGTTTGGTGTAGCTAGGTCTCAAAGGGTTGCACAACTATCACATCATACAGGTAAGAAAAAGCAGGCATGGGGAAGAATCTTTGGCCGTGGATCAGGTGTTGTTGGTCCTTCCCCTCTCCCTGACACTTCATCTTCATCTACTTCTGCTGTTTCTAAGCTATCAGCTTACTTAGACAGTGACAATATCACTTCTTATGAGGATGATTTTGACCTACTTCTGTGGTGGCGTGACCATAAGCTAACATTTCCAATACTGTCTATAATGGCTAGAGATATCATATCAGTTCCTGTATCTACTGTCTCTTCGGAGTCTTGTTTTAGTTTGACAGGTAGGATAATTGAGGAACGGCGGCGGCGCTTGTCATCAGAGACCATGGAGATGCTAACCTGCTTAAAGGACTGGGAGTTAGGAGAAAAAAGGGAACAACATGCTGTTGACAACCAAGAGCTTGAAGACTCATTCCAGAACTTATACCTTGATGAAGATGGACCTGCTGGTGGTGCTCCTGGTACTTAGTGAGGTACTGAGGTTGAGACTTGACTCCTGAGTGTGTGTATGATCTGTGATTGTGAAAGGATGTGTGTGACTGTAAAAGACTTGTCTATCATTTGAACAATGGTTAATTAAGAGCTGGCTGCACTCTTTTTTTCTTTCTATGGTTTCTCACAAGAGTGAGTTTTACCTAGAAATATTTTTAATGAGGCAGTATTGCACTAAACAGCTCATTTTGGTTATTTCTGTTGTCTGTCGGTTTTGGACTTTGATTCTGTGAATGTATGAAACTATAATTTGTGAACGTATCGGACATTTCGACTTCGATTATGTGAATGTATGAAACTGTGACTGTATCGGACATTTGGAGTTTTAGACTTTGATTTTGTGAATGTAAGAAACTGTGATGATGTGAACTGTGAATGTGTGAATTGTGAAACTGTGAACTGTGAACTGTTTGTGAAATTGTGAATGTAAAGGGTAACAGGCCGTGGGCTGGCACGGCCCGTGATTCTGGCCGTGCTTTGTGGACCGGCCCGGCATGGAAATCGGCCCATAGGGTCGTGCTTGGGCCGAAGGCCAGGCCCGTGGCCCTGTGAGGCACGGCCCAGGAGGCACGGCGTGTTGTGCCGGCCCGTTGGCTATCGGGCACGGCGTGCTGTGCAGGCCGGTTGGCTATCGGGCCATGCTGGCACGGGCCGTGCCGTGCCGTGCCGTGTCGGGTCGGCCCGTTGGCCATATATAACTAGTAGTATCGCAGTAGTAGCATTCCAACATTTTCCTTGTGAAGCACAAGGTCAATCCACCATGGGCCATGGCAGGCAGGGAGGCCGGTCTCATGCGTTAATGGCGACGACCGACGAAGGGCCTCTGCCACTGTGTGTGTGATCCAATCCCAATCTGGACCGAACAGTTGATCACCACTAGCCGGTCTTGTGTGACACGAGTAAACTCCACCTCCACTGCTGAGAGCCTGAGAGTGAGAGCAATCAGCTTCCCAGGCAGCCACCTCCAAGGCGTCGAGTCGGAGTGTCGGACGGCTGAGAAGCAGAGCAGAGCGGCAGCGGCCATGCGGGGCGGCTGCTACGTGGGCAAGGCCACCAAGATCTTCCTCGCCCTCTTGGCCGCCCTCGCCGTCGTCGGCGTCGTCCTCGCCTTCCGCGCCGTCCTCCACCGCGCCGCCGCCAAGTCCAGCTCCAACTCCGCCTCATCCGCGTGCGCCGCCGCCGACGCGTGCCAGCCCGTCCTGCCTGACACCGACCCCGCCGTCCAGCAGCCCGCCGCCGCCGCCACGGCCGCCCGCCCACCGCCCACGCCCGCGCAAAATCCCACCTTTCTCTCCCCGGAAGCCGCCACCTGGCCGCCGCCGCCGCCCTCGCAGCCGATGCCTGTGCCTGAGACCCCTCTGTCGCCGCTGCCGGTGCCCGTGCTCCCACCTCCCCAGCAGCAGTTGCCGCCGCCGGCACCAGTCGTGCCACCACCGCCGGCAGAGATCGCGTCGCCCCCACCCGCACTCGCGTTGTCACCGCCGGACCTTCTGCCGCCGCCTCCAACACCACCTGCGTTGCCGTCCCCTGATGCGCCGCCGGCCGCCCCAGAGGCGCCCAGCCCAACGGCGTCTTGACTCATCCTCGATGCCGACGAGCAGGGAAGGAGCTGCTGCACAGAGAGAGGGAGAGGTGGATTTGTTAGAGGAGTTAGCTGCCGTTGATGTACTGTTTCTTCAGCTTGTCCTATAATTCAGTTGCAATTTTGTTGAATTTTCAACATCGCCGTAAGGATCTCACAAAATCAGTCTGCGCGCGTCTCTCTTGTCCAAAAATCTCTTCTGTTCTTTACAGTTGGTTGCAATGTGCAGAATCTACATTCTTTGCTGAGAATTGTGTAGTGTTTCTCGGGGAAATTCAAGTTTGTGGCAGTACTAGGAATCACTGCTTTTCACACCTGCGTGCATGTCGACTGGATTGACATGAATTGACCATGGAGTCTGGTCTGGTCATGGTCTCATGGGGAGAGTAATCTGTCTGACAGCAACAGATGCATGCGTCAATGGCCATGACCTGGGTGTTTTTTTGAGCATCTGGCCATGACCTGTTGTTGACCACCTTGGGTTGTAGGAGTATGAGATGAGAGTGACCTATTCCTCGGCTCCACAGATCTACCCACCACTCTGCATCTATCAAGCACACATGACAGCAGTGCTTCTCTAATTTGATCTCTAGCGCCTCCACTTGCAGCAAAAGAAACAAGAGAACAGCTAAAAAAGAAACAAGAGAAGAGGAGCTGCCCAGAAATATTCTGCTATAGGAGTACTTTGGTACAAGTATATCCATGTTTCTTCTGCTCACTCAATCACATCTGGGAGTTAATTAAAGGTTAAGAATGCAGTGGCATGATTTTTGGAGAATTGTGCACAGTGCGACATGCACAGAGCTACTGCTCACTCAATCACTCCCATTTGAGTTATCAAAAAAAAATATCACTCCCATTTGTTTTTTTTTAAGTTAAAGAATGCAATAGCATGAACATGTGTAGCAGACTAGGAGTACCTGCAATGCCTGAAGAAATGCATGGCAGCTACTAGATTCCATTCCACTTTTGTGAAACAGCAGCTCATCATCATTTACCTAAAAGAGCTCAGCAGCACTTGTAGTACAAAAATGAGCCCCTTTCATTATTAGAACAAGAGTGAAAATTATTACAAGAGAAGAGCTCCAGTCCTTTTCAGGAGAAACACCTGTCCTGAGTTTGGCAGCAGACAGCAGTTCGTTCTTCTGATCTTCCTCCATGGTCTCTATATCTTCTTCACTCAGAATATGCGGAGAACCTTTTAAGGAGTTTAGTTTTTTTTTACCAAAAAAGCTATAAAGCTGCATGGTGCAAAAGGGTGACTGATGCTCTTGTCACATGCCCTTTACCTTAGGAAAAGGTTGAGATGTAGGGAATCAGGATGAAGTTTTCTTTTTCTCCCTGTGAATGAAAGAAGAAAAGCTACCGCAGCTCTCTATTATACGGAGTAGTATCAGATGGAGAAAATCTTAATATTTAGCATTCCTTACCTGTCGCCACATACCAAGTCCATGATTGTGTCTTTCAGCCAGTTCGCTTCTTCGTTTTAGTCGGGGCTTATCAGTCATGGTACAGTGTTTTTTTCTCATAACAAACCAGCACCAGGTGAGAATTATCAGCCTAGAAACCAACCAGCAAACAGGCTGTTTATCATCTGTAGGGAAAAAAAAAGATAACAGAGCAACAGGCTTTGCTACACTACATCGAACTGAGGCCATGTTTAGTTCCACCAAATTCCCAACTTTGACACTATGCAAAAAGAAGATTTCCCATCATATCAAACTTGCGGTACATGCATGGAGTACTAAATGTTGATGAAATCAAAAATTAATTGTACAGTTTGGTTGTATTTTACGAGACGAACGTTTTGAGCCTAATTAGTCAATGATTAAACAATTATCACCAAATAAAAACAAAACGTTACTGTAGATACAGTATAAATACAGTGATTTCATCGGCGCCGAATCGCCGAACTAAACATGGCCTGAGACATGCAAGCAAGCGAACTGAACCGAACACGTGAGGACAAGGACAGGAGGGCAGAGTGTCGTTTCTTCAGGTAGCTTCTCTCAGGGCCGTGCCGATAAAATTTGAGGCCCTGTACTAAACTGTAAAATGAGGCTTTATCCTTTGATAAAAAGGACTACAATAATTATCAATTCTACATGCACATCTTATATACATATTAACCTTAGAACACTAGCCGTAATCATACGAAGGAGAGATAGTTATAGTTCACATAATGATTGTCCGGAAAAAAAGTTCATATAATGATACCAAGGATAATAAATTCAAATCGAAGGAAAAGATTAAAATGACCCAGGACCTTTTTTTATAACAGTCCTAACTCATACCTGTTCCAGTGCTAATCCATCATGAAAGTTAACGGCATGGGCTTGAATTTATCCCCTATAGCTGGCAGTCACTAGCAGTTTGCACACACCTGGTGATGAACTAAAAATGAAGTGATGGTTGGTAGCTAGTAAATCCAACAAAATTTGAGGCCCCTGATAATTAGAGGCCCTGTTCCCTCGCACCGTTTGCACGCCCCTCGGCACGGCCCTGGCTTCTCTGTAGGCGCATGCAATTTTGTATTTGGACTAGCTGAGCTCAGCTTTCTCTGAACTCAGTAATGGCAAATTGCCAAGCATCAGTCAGTAAGCAGAACCCAATTAACGCTGAAAGAGTGAGGATAGATTTATGCCATCAGCAAAGCATGTCTACTGACCTAGATACGAAAAAGTAGAAGAAAAGTAAAAGAACAATAATAATAGATTTGTTTTGTGTCGATTGTGTAGAGACTTTTTCAATTGGCCATCACCTTTAAATAGGCGGCTGGTCTTTGCCGTAGAGTACCAGGACTCTTATATAAACAGATACGTACTGGTACTACTGGTGCATATTACATCACATGAAATAAAATAATAATATCTCCTGTAGTCCTGCCTAACAGCCTGTTCGTTTGGCTGGGCTGGTTCGTTGCTGGTTCGTAAAAAAATACTACTGGTTGATTTGTGTGAAAGAAAAATATTATTCCGACGAAAAATTTACGATCGTTTCACCCCAGCCGAACGGGCTGTAATTCGTTTCCTTGATCCGTTTGGCCCTGCATGGTTGCACCAGGTACATACGACACATAGAAACTGCATCCTTTAGCTAAAGGATTAATCCGTGAAAAGCCTTTGCATGATCTCCTTTTCCGGTTTTTCTATATTGCTTTCTTTTCTTCACACGTGCACTCCAGCAGGCATCAAATAAACTGGCGTCCGACCGCCTTTGCATGATCTCCTTTTCCGGTTTTTCTATATTGCTTTCTTTTCTTCACACGTGCACTCCAGCAGGCATCAAATAAACTGGCGTCCGACCTCCATGTTATGCATATTCTTGATCTGTAGCATGCCAACTAATTGAGACTAATTATCAATAACCTATATAATTTGGCCAATCATACTCTCCAGCCAAATTACACTATCAACACATGCCCCGTGTTTTCTGTTTTCGGTACAATTGCATTTACCGAAAACACTGTAGCAATAAGTATTGTACCTTAAGACATGTCAATCGTTTCGCCAGCCACACCACCTCTTAGGGCAATGTCTCCATAATACATCGGCCAGATATTTTGCTTAGGACGATGTCCAAACTACAATCGGCCACATATTTTCCTCAGCCCGATATTTAATCAACATATCGGCCATAGTACTATCAAGCAGCTTGCCGGACACTAGGATCACTACCGGGAACGGGAGCTTTGCCGTGTGCAAAGCCACGAATACACTCGGTAAAGGGCACTCGGCAAAAAATTTATCGGCAAACTAACTTTGCCGAGTGTTTTTTATCGGGCACTCGGCAAAGACGTTGTCGGGTGCCCAAAAAACACTCGGCAAACATTTTTCGCAAGAAATAAAAAAATCAAATTGCCACGCCCAAAAAACAAATTCCCACCACGGCCACCACGCCGCCACGCCCGCTGCCACCCCACGCCGGACGCCACCCGCCACCACGCCACCCGTCGCCACGCCACCCGCCTGCCACGCCGCACGCCACCCGTCGGATCCGGGAGAGGGGAGGGGCGGTCGCCTGGACGCCGCCGGATCTGGGAGGGGAGGGGCCGCCTGAAAGCATCTAGGCCCCTTGTTGGGTTTCGGTGATTAATGACAATACAAGATTACTATGACTAATGTGTGTTTTGCAGAGGCAATTAAGTTAGGTCATGGTAATGGAGATCGATTGGGCAATCATGGATGTCATGCCCCTACGATGGAAATCGTTTCGGTTTTCAAAGGATGGACGACAAGGTTAAGGATGACTAGTTCTAAGTGTCGATTGGAGTTGGAGAGACACTTAGAGTAGTTTATGACTTTGTTTTTCCTTTGGCCGTACTATTAAGGGGGGTATGGACGGGTAGCTTGACCTAGGTGAGTCTAGTGAGTTAGGTGTGGTGCACACTTGCTAAGTCTAGCACTAGGTAGCTCCAACAAAGCCCTTAGATCCTATGGAGCAAACTTCATTCACATATGATCGAGAGTTGGAAGTGAATGGAGGGTCAAATACTGACCGGACGCTGGCTCCGGTGCGACCGGACGCTGGCCGCAGGGTCCGGTCAGTTCATTTGACCAAGGAGATTGCGTCTGGCGCGACCGGACGCTGAGGACCAGCGTCCGGTCGACTCCAGTAAGGTTCAAGAGAAGGAATTCTTTGACCGGACCCTGGGGGTTCAGCGTCCGGTCGAGTACAGTAAGATTCCAGTGAGGGATATTTGTGACCGGACGCGTCCGATCAGTGGTGATCGGACCCTGCCAGCGTCCGGTCAACACTTAAACACTGGTGTGCGGGTTGAACTGACCGGAGCGTCCGGTCACCTCGTAGAGGCACATAACGGTTCGTTTTTCAACCCATGTTATAAATAGAAGCTCCACTCGTGTGTGGAGTCACTTTCGCTCATTCCAACAGCTGAGAAACACGTTTGTGAGTGCCAAGAAGAGCAAGGTCCTAGTGAGGTGATTGAGATTTGAGAATCCCAAAGAGAGCCCTCATTAGTGAGATCAAGAGTAGCAAAGTGTGCCTCCATCTTTCTCCCTAGGTTTGTCGTGGTCAAGTGAGAGTTCGTGCTTGTTACTCTTGGTGATCGCCATCACCTAGACGGCTTGGTGGTGATTGGAGAGCTTGGTGATCATCCGGAGAGTTTGTGGATGACCCAACTCAAGTTGTGAGCGATTATGGGTGATTCACCGCGACGGAGTGTCGAAGAATCAACCCATAGAGAGTACTTGATCCTTGCGCGGATCAAGGGGGAGCTACACCCTTACACGGGTGCTCCAACGAGGACTAGTGGGGAGTGGCGACTCTCCGATACCTCAGCAAAACATTGCCGCATTCCCTTCTCTATTTACTTTGAGCATTTACTTTGAGTATTTACTTTGAGTAATTACTTTGAGCATTTACATTGAGCAATTCAATTCTTGTCTCTACAATTCATAGAATTGCCATGCTAGAGTAGGATTAGAATTTAGGTTGCAAGTCTTTTGTGCGGTAGAACAACTAGAAACACTTTTTAGGCACAAGGGGTTAATTGGGCTAACCGTATGATTTAATTATTGCAAAGAAATTTAGAATTAGCCCAATTCACCCCCCCTCTTGGGCATCTTGATCCTTTTAATTGGTATCAGAGCCAAGTTCTCACGTTTTTAAGCTTAACCGCTTAGAGCAAGATGTCTCACGGGGATGGACCTCCTCCTATCTTCGAGGGGGATGATTTTCCATATTAGAAAATCCGCATGGAGGCGTACCTAGAAGCTCTAGACGTTGGAATACTTAGAGCCGCCTCACATGGCTTCCCAAGACCGAGGAATCCCGCACAACTTTAAGGCGATGAAGTGAACTATGAAAAATAGAATGCAAAGGCTCGCAACAACATCTTTAGAGGCCTTTGCAAAGATGTGTTCAATCGTGTAAGGAACCACAAAGACGCCCATGCACTATGATCGGACGTTTGTGCGCTCCATGAGGGAACAAAGAGTGAGCGTGAGGAACGCTATCATCTTGTCATGAAAAAGCTCAACTCTTTTGAAATGCTTCCTAAAGAATGTGCTAATGAAATGTATTCACGTTTGAATGTTCTTGTAGAGGAAGTCAATGGGCTTGGACTTACTCAAATGTCACCATCCGACGTTGTGAGAAAGATCTTGAGTGTCCTTCCCATTGACAAATATGGGTATAT